CTGGTTTCCAGTAATTCTCCTTAGTAATGTTAACTTGTAATCTACTAATCATCGAAGAATTACAAGCGAAAAACGACAAACTGGTCGAAGAAGCAAACAGTGAAGGCAGAACTCCAAGTAAACATAGACAAGACGGAGGTTATCAAAATAACCAGCCAACAACAACAGCAGCAGCAACATCCAGCGCCAATCACCATCAACGGGAGGGATGTGAAAGAGGTTACTTCATTCACTAATCTAGCATTGAGCATTGTCTCAACTACAGGAAGTCGGAACGGACGAGGCTGTCAAATAGAGCGAGAATCGGGAAGGCGAGAAACACATTCATCAACCTGAAACCAATCTGGTCTGGAAATCTTCGTCACTCAGCGTCAACAACAAAATTCGGTCGGATTTTCAATACAAACAACGTCAAGTCAGTCACTTCTTCTATATGGATCAGAAACTTGGCGGGTGTGTCACAAAGAATATTTCCAACAGGCTATTGCATACCTTTATCAACAACTGTCAATTATCGCTCTATACTGAAGATCGGATGGCCGGGCCGGAAAGAATCACCAACAAGAAACTATGAGAAGGAGTAAACAAAACAAGAACCCATCGCCAACCAACAAATATGCAAGAGAAAGTGGAGATGGATGGATTGGACACTCGTTGAGGAGGCCACCGCTGGGTGACATCGCGCGCGCGTCAGGCCATTTCTCGAGTGGAACCAGGCCGAAAGGGAAGCGGCGAGTGGGTCATCAGTGAGAGAGTGACATGGATGAGATCGTGTGAAGAGGAATTGAGATAGTATGAACTAACATGGATGCAGGTGAAAAGTACAGCAGGAGATAGAAGCAAGTGGAGATGTGTAGTTGAATCCCTCTGTTCCACTAGGAACTCAAAGGAACAATAATAATGCACAGAGAGTTCATTTTTAAACAAAAATCAATCAATTCGTATATGTATACAATAATAGTGCGTATAATAATAATAACAATAATATTATTAAACACCTTTTCCCAAACAACAGTAATGATCACACACAACGGAAACTTCCGGCATTACATATTGAGATGGAAGATAGGGTGAACATATCCAGTTGTCAGAGAAAGGAGTGACTGATGGGTACTTCCCTCTGAGCGCATAATTAAGGTTTCAGGCGTTTGATGGAAATTGCTTTTTACAGACTTAAGGAGGATCGAACTTTTTTGCTTATTGGTAATTTTCAATGATGTGGTGACGTTCACCTCATGACCCATGTCAAAAAGAGATGACTGTCGATGACCATGTTGATGAGAGCATTTGTTCCCTTTAGACGTAGGCTTTCTGGTAAATGTTTAGAAAATTAGAATTGTGTCTTTCTTTATGAACTTCCAATGTAACAGCTGTAACTGCAGATACATGTAAATTTGTCTAAAAGGAACAAATGCTTTTAACAGTGCCAACACCGAGTATCTCTTCAAAACGCGTCATGAGGTGGACGTCGGAAAGTCTTTCAAAATTATCATTTTGGCAAAAGAGTTCCATTCTCCTCAAGTTTGCCGAAGCCATCTTCTTCAAGTGTCTGAAACCGGATTTATGCGTTCAGAAAGAAGCAGTTATCAGTCTTTCTTTGCCTCTCCTGGTAACTGGATGTTTTCATCCTCTCTTTCGTCTGATTATTTAATGCCGGGATAAAGTGCTGAGATAAAGTGTTTATTATTATTATACATACTATCATTGTATGCCTATAATGATTGTTATTTTTGTTTAAAAATGAATTCTGTGGAAGTATGTTAAAATTGTTTATGTAGATATTTTTAGTAATAATGACTTTGGGCTGTAAGCAGCTGATGAGAAGTCAACAAAATAAACAATGATGACAGTTTTTTTATTCTGTAGAAGCTGTTGTTCTTCTTGCTTTATTCAAATTATAAAATGTTGGTTTGCAGGGGTTTGATTGTTTAAGGTTCACTCACGAACTGACACCATTTTCAGAACTGTTGGAAAACCAGTGAGTACCAGACAGCTGCTTCGTCCTAGTTTGGCACCCTTCAGCAATACACACCCATAGGGGTTCAATCCCAGGATCCTCCGGTTACGAGGCGAGCTCATAAACCATTCAGCCGCTGTGATGCCAAGCAAATAAATAAATAAATTTCTGCCCTTAAGGGAGAAGTTATGGATTGTGTATGTAAAAGCCTTAAATTACCCCACTGATTTTTTGTGTTTCACCTACCTCATGGTTGATGAAGTATGATAATTCGACCTGACCATACCTTAATAAATACTTTGGCTAACATTACACATCCAGAAAGTCAGTAGTTCGATCTGTAAAGTACGTATTCCATGTCTTCAGACAGTAAAGAACATTTTCAGCTTTATTTTCTGGCTTGCGTATTCTTTACTCATGTTAGGTGAAGAAGACACTGCAAAGGCCTGTACACTTTTTATTTCTGCTTTTTATATCATCATCATCATCAATTTCACTTCGGAAAAATCATCGAAACTAAAAATGACATGAATCGACAGATCCACGTTGATATTTTGTCGTCAACGACTTAATGTTGGCTTGTAATACAGTTTTGCAAATGACAGTATCAGCCAGTATTTTCGAAAACTTGCCTCTCTAATCATTAAAGATTAGTTCTTTGACATTATCTTGCATTTCATAAGCTTCAAATGTCTCCCAGATCCTGCATTCTTCCTTGAGTCTTAGTCTATCACACTTATATAATACTTAATGAATTGGCTCATTTGTAATATAAGAGAAAGAAAAAGAGAAGCGATTCGATTGCATCTTGCCATAGCTGTGTTCTCTGGGCTGGATGGTTTATTTGAGGCACTTTCACTGCCCTACTAAGCATACTCTTCAATTTGAAGTAAGCGTTTAGATTTCCCCATCAGTTTATAAGTCATCTCTCCTGGTGGGTGACCATTGGACGTGATTGGTTGTTTCTGTAAGTTTTCACACCCTCTAGGCCGCTTGTTCTCGTATTGGTGTTGATTGTTACCTAGACGGGAATTTCGACCCTTTGTGAATGAGATTTTCTTCTTATTGATTGGTAAATTATGTCTATGTGAATGTGTCAGTTGATTGAAGATTTACTGGAATGCCAGACTTCTAAAAATTCCCTAGCATTCTTGGTGTTTGTTACCTCTGCCCGCTTGTTGTCCCAGTCTAATTGATGTCCGTGGTTGTGTGTTTGCAGCGATATGAGGGAGTAGATGTTATGTTTTTTGATAGCCAGTTTATATTGATGGATACGAAGACGAAGAGGGGTCGTTCACTTTGGCCAATGTAGTGTTTTCCTCAGTCGTTACAACTAATTTTGTAAATGATGTTGGTTTTATCCTCTTTCGCTGTTGAGTCATTTGGTTGACACAGAGCCCGCCGAGTGAAATGATTTTACTGGTTTGTGTGCTACATCGATTCCTAAAGGTTTGCAGAGTCTTTTTTTTTTTTATGGTTACAGCTTGATTCCACACCGTATTTTTGGTACATGTGTGGAATTTTCAGCGTGGATATCGGTAGCCCAAAATTCGCAGGCCAACCATAGATATCAGGTGTGCGTCGGCGACGGCTCGAACCCCGGACCATGTGCATGGTCGGCGAGAGTCCTAACCACTGTGCCACCGACGCACAGTGGTCTTGCAGTGATATCTGAGATGTTCTTTATATATGGCAGGGCGATTTTCTTTGTGCCTCCCTTAGGGGTGTTTGATTTGGTAGGTTGGCTTGGGTGTAGATGTTTTTTGATGAAGTTCCGTGGATATCTATTCTTTTGGATGTCGTCCATTAGATATCTTTCTTCAATTTTCCGTAAGGTAGGAGTGTTTTAATGGTTCCTGGCTCTCTTGAATCATGTTTGTGTGTTATTGGATTTTTTTGCTGTAATTCAGTATTTGGTCTGTGTGAGTCAATTTTCTATAAACTTGAGTTTCCAATTCCCCTGTGATTGTTCGCTTGACTAAGACGTCCAAAAATGGAATTTTAATCTAGGATCCCTCTTCTCTTGTGAATTCGATGTCGTTGAAGACGTTGTTTATTAAGTTATGAGTTTTATCTGACTCGTTTCTTTTGATTATTATAAATGCGTTATCTACGTAACGTATCCAAATTTTGGGTTTGATCTTTGGTAGGGTTATGTATTCGAGCCTTTGTATCACTGCTTCTGCAATCAAACTTGATATTGACGATTCCATGGGTGTTCCTTTAATTGTCGTTTTACTTGCCAAGCATATCTAAGCTGTTCTACAGGTGTATGTATGTGTGTGAGCGAATATTTGTGACCTGGAGTACAATCAGCAGTTCAATTAGTATAGAATCCCTTAAATCAACACGTCTTGTCTCTACTCATATATTCTAAAGATGTCATCAAATCGAACCTTTAATGTGTTGTTTAAATGCGAACTGAACATTTGAGTACGCTGAAATATATTTGTATTTTAAAGCATTTCCAACAGGCTGTAGGCTTTTATCAATAGTTGCCAGGCAATGAATCAACCAAAAGCATGTCGGCTGATAGAAGTGCCGCATGAAGTGGAGAAATAGACTGGATATGAACTGAGAAAACTCTTTCCTAACATCACGTGACAGAAGCTCGAGTGGAACCGACATGGGAGGCGATAAGTTAGGTATTGGTTTCAGCTTGGAGTGAAGTAGATCATTTGAATAGGAGGAGATGAAACCTTAAAAGTCACTCGTGGAGCTAGCTAAGCAAGACTGCAGAAAACAGAGTGAAGTGAAGATGTGCTGTTGAAGCCGTATGTTCCACTTGGAACCCACGGGTATAAAATAGCGATAATGTCAAATTGTACCTTTAGATGTTCGCTGTCTGAATGAAGACCTGATACACATGAAAGATAACTTCAAAATCGGTAATACACTGTTAAACATGAGGCTATCCTTGGAGAGAAAAACAAGAAGGCCAAACATTTCAAAACAAAGGAACATTAGATCAAGCCATTCACAGCTACTTATAAGTAGTAAATAAAACTAGGCGTAAAATGATTTAATTGCTTGAATCACTTACCGGTGAACTATTATGAACTATTGGTTTAGTTACATTATTGTTGAAGGTTTGTTCTAGCGAACACCGTTGTCTGGACTGTTGATTATTCGTCGATGGTGGAGTTTCATTCAAAGATGATTCTATGTACATATAGTTATTCTGAGCATAATTATCTGCATTGCCTCCATCATTTTCAATAGAGAAAGAAGTTTTCAACTGAAATTAAAATGGAACAAAACAATTATAATAACTACAGAAAACATATAATAAAGCATTAGAGTAATTCTTGCGGCGAGTGCATGTCTCAGTGGATGGAGTAAATGGTCTACCTGCTCACATCGCAACCTGAAGGTCTTGGCTGCGTATTGCTGAAGAGTACTGAGCAAAGACGAAAAGGACTTCTGTGTTTTGGTGAAAGAACGCCAACCAGCATGGTTTAGGTTTGTTTGCGACGCCGGTGCACTCCTAAACCTTGTGCAGCCGGTAGTGAACATGGTGAAGAGGGAAGGTCGAGCTCATCCATCCGTATAGGCAACAACACTACGGCCATTGAAACTTGATCCCTAATGCTCAAGACGCAAAGGAATGATACAGAAGATATGGTGAATGTGAACAATAAGTTGTGAATAACACAGTCTCACTATGTGGAATTCAAAAGTATGATATATCCCCATGTCATGTATGGAAAGTCGGCCTGAATGACGAAGAATATTCTTCACAGTTAAATTCTTTTCTGGTTCTTACAGCTTTACACTGAAATATTTGTTATCACTACAGTAATAATAGCGAGTTGTTCTGCAGACGCATTTTTTAAGTAGAATGACAGACTAGCAACCAAATAGTGATAGAATGTATAGTATTTGTGTGACGAGCTAAGCTGAATACAAGTAGAAAGTACTATGAAATGTGAGGTGATGATGGTGATTAGTCATAATGGAAAGAAACCTGATAAGTTAGTTCAAAGTTCTAAAAGGTGTCTGGTAAGTTTCAATTATTGTTTATTATGATTATTCTGTTGAGTTCCGAGTGAAATATAGGGCTTCAACCACACATCTACACTTTCCTCTATTCTCTGCTGTCCTCTTCATCTGGTTGAGGGGCAAAATTGACGACAATCTCTCATCCCCTCTTCATCCCACAATCTCCTCCATGGCACCCTCTTACCGGCGAAAAACTTGTCACTTCTCACTAAGATTCAACTCGAGCAATGGTCTGCATTGGGAGTGAGGTCATTCAACGGTCTCCTCAACGCATAGCTGATCAATACAACTGAATTTTCTCTCACATATTTGTTGAGCAATCGACTCTCGGTTGATTGCTTGCCTAACAGAGTTTCCTGTTGCTGATTCTTTCAGGCTGGCCGGTTGGACATTTCATCTTCAGTATTGAGGTAGCGAAGGGGACAGCTATTGATAAAGTCTGCAGTAACATGTTGGATATCCTTTTCGTTAAGTTCTAGGCACGTTTCTGACCTGTAAAGAAGCGGTGACTGACTTCATATTTGTGTTGAACAGAATTCGAACCTTGTTCTTTATGCTGGCTGAGTGAGTGCAGAAGATTTCCAAACTGGTTTCAGATTGGCGAAGTCGTTTTAAGCATTTTTGATTCCGACTGGCTGGCTTTGACATCTCCATCCGTGCTCTCCGACTGCTTGTGGTTGAAACTTCTGTCGAATTTCTCCAGTCGATAGTGATTGGTGGTCGTTGTTGGTTTTTTTTGGCGAGTATCTTCATCACTTCTGTCTCTACCTTCTCTATGTTCACCTGAAGTCCTACCTGCCCCGCCTCTTCAGACGGCTTATTGGTTTTAGTCTGCAGGTCTTCGACTTTGTGTAACACTAAACATAAATCGTCCACTGCGAAATCCAGATCTGCTAGAGTCTTCTAATCGAACAGTTCGACCTAATCCTGTCTCCTCACTCCTTGTGCACCGCCTGATGCATAATCCAGTCCACTACAATAGGCACTATGACCGGTGATAATAGGCAGTCAGCCAGTTTGTGCTACTCCTGTCGTCTTTGCTTCGAACGCCTCAGGGAGTTTTCCATCGTGGATCACCTGATACGTGGCAGGTATTGTCCTATAACCAGTCAGATGTTAAATGAGGTTGAAAAATACCTGAACAGTGCACGCCTTAGTGCTTGAAAAGGTAGCCTTTCTTCAAATCAGTAGGCACATTTTCTTATTTCTGAACTCTTTGCAATAATAGCGTGAGCACATCTGTCGGAGTCTCTACGTCCGTTTTCAGCGCCTTGGGAGAAATTCTATTTGGTAGTGCTGCCTTCCTGGACTTCAGGAGCTTGATCAAATACATAATATCTGTTTTACTTGAAGGATCGGTTTCCACTGGAAGGCAGTTCTGTGAGTGCTGTTGGTGGTATTTCTGGGTGAGATGCAGGTGATGGTCGATTCAAGAGTCCTTTAAAGTGATCGGTCTATTGTTTCTTATTGTTTCTCCTCCTTGATGATCAGGTTCCCGTGAACGTCTTTTATTGTTTTCATCATCTGTTGACCTGACTGTCTGATATAATGTTCTGAGGTCTCTTTTACTTGCGGCCTACTGTCTGTTCCGCTTTAGTTGCCAGTGTGTCGTAGAATTGTCTTTTGTCTTTCCTAGCACTCTTCTTCACTTCTTCATTCAGTGCAGTGTACACTGGATTTACCTTCTACTTCTGTTGTCCATCTTTGCATTGAGTCCTCTTCTTTTCCACCATTCTCTTCTTCTCTCTTCTATTAGCTTCCAGATATCTGTTGAGAGTCATTCCTTGTTGTGTCGCTTCTTTCTTTCCTAGAACAGTTGTACGCGTTTCTTCGAACATCCCCTTCAAAGTGTTCCAATGTGCTTCCTTAGTGACACCACTTATTGTCTCCGACTTTGCTCTAATTCTGATCTGTAGTGAAGGTGTTCCTTGTAGTTTTGCCCTTTAGCTTCTGAATGTTGAGCTTGAATTGTGGTTTGTCTGTAGCTGTTTTCAGGGATTTCAGCTTCACCTTGAAAGTTTCTTTGAACTCGATGGTTCTCTTCTGGACTTTGTGTCCAGCAAGCTGACTGAGTCGCCACTTCCTTAAGAAGAATTGAGATGAAGTCTATTTGCTTTGTGGTGTGTCCATCAGACAAAATCTATGTTGTTTTATGTATATCCTTGTGATTGTACACGCTGACACCGATCACTTAATCATTGAAAGTGCAGAAGTCGGTGAAGAGTTCTCTGTTCTCATTTATTTCTCCAAGGCAGAGCCTCGTAACCCATGTTGAGTTCTGTTCCTGTATTATCAGGTCCTATTTTGGCATCCATATCTCCCATGAGGATTTCAGTGTCACCGTTCAGGGTGTTGTCCATTACTGTTTGTAGTTGTCTACACAAAATCTCCCTTCTTCTCTTCTCTTCCGCTTTGTTTGTAGATGTGTAGCATTGGATTATTGTGACCTTCCTTCCGGATGAAATTAGTTACCACCGAGTTTGAGCTTTGGCTGCCAATGGTGAGTGACTAGTACAACGCAGTATTTATTGAAGGGGAGATAGTAAGACTGTGCGGTGAATAATTCACCCTGAAGTAATCAATATGTGAAATCAAACAGATTCAGCCACATATATTTAGAAAAGAGGTAATACTACCGAAAATAACCAATCAGAATAGTACGAATGGAAAATTCAATAGTGTTTAAAGTATGCCAAAATGAAAGGTACGCATTAAGAACATTGAAACTAAAACCTTTAGAATGAAAAGGAAAAAGAGAAAAGAAGGATGTGGAAAAGAAACGAGTGCAGGAGAGGAAGAAGTGTCAACAAGTTAGAATTCGAGAGGTCGGTGAACTTCAGCCGAAGAGACTTAAAAGTCATTAAGCCTAATCCGGTAAAGTGAAGGCAGTGACTTCATAGATGCGTACTGTGAAGTGTCTTGGAGTATGACGAAATATTTATCAGGTGATACTCTACTTTTTAGTGGTCTGTTTAAATGACTCTGAGTAGTGAGGAAGTTCTAAAAATTCTAACTATCCATTCATTGTTCCAGCATACTTTGAGTGGAATTTCACGTCTTTTATTCCATAATTATTACTATTATTATTGTTATTATTATTATTACCACACAGTAGTATGCAGACGACTTTTTTGGCTTTGACTTCAAATCATCATATGACTACAGTTGTGAATAATACTACACCGTTAGACAGATAAACAAAGAAAAACAAAAACTTTGAAACGCTGTCTCCAAATATGAAGTACTAAAATTAACAGTGTAAGTGAGTGTGTGAGTGGGTGGGAGAGAGAGACTAGAAACAGAACTGAGCAGTACCACCAGTTACTGCAATTCTGAGCATAACAACAGACCACTTGACATTAAATTGATTGTATTTGACTCAATCTATTGTGAAAAAAATATAGGCCTTAACCTGTTAATTAAGTTGCTAACTGAAGAATAACTCTATAATGTATAAGCGTTTTCATAAGGAATGTGAATTATGGCTGTTATCTAGACCTGTGCTACAGAATGTCAACTATGCCCACACCATACATAACCATGCAACCTTATTGAGTTCATACCAGGAACAGAACGAGATCCTAGTTGAAGTGACAATATTCTGAGTCCTGTGCTTCAAATCCACCTCAGTAAGAGTAGGGGAAAATTAGTCATTACAAGAAAAGAATTCGGGTATTGCGACACACTATAGTTCCATCATTTTCTTTCTCCTTCCTTTTTGTTCCCGATAGAACATAGGGCTTCAAGCTAGAGGCCTGGTATTTATTTCTAAGGGTCGGGATTGCTTGCCTCATGCCCAAACTTCCCTTCTTTTTTTTGATTACTGGCTTGTCGAGGTAAATGAGTGCGTCTGTGGCCGGGAATCAAACCCAAAACCACATGAAGCATGGTCGGCGAACATTCTACCGCTAAGCCACCGACGCACATAGTTCCATCATAAAGCAAATATCTTAGATGATAAAAGAATATGATGACCAGGTTTCAAGGATTTTTTGGATGTAGACTTGATCAACAAGGATTTAGTGGTCAACATCCCAATCCCACATAAACATATATTTTTAGAACTGTCGCTTTATCCCACATTACTGTGTGTTGATCCCTTCACTCCGATTGTCGAATGTTTCCTTAAACGAATCATCTTCTTGGGGTCAGTCAGTCTGCATCCGGCTAATTACCTATGTTCTGATAATTGGACTACCTCTGATCTACTCGCCTCAATGACCCGTGGGGTTGATATCTTAGTCACTGCAAGGTGTTTTGTAGATTAAATCATTTTGTCCATTTCAATGAATGAGCTTCTCTTTGAGTTAGTTTATAGGTTTTCAATACCAGTCTAATTCCAGTTGTGTTAAAAAACCTATGTAGAATTCCAGATGTTCCTTCTTTATATGGTTAAACTATAGATGGCTAAAGTCCTTTCATATTTATGGTTTGATCAATAGTTTCACTATTATTTTCCTCTTCTTGTGAGCTTTTCAGATCTTCTCAGTGAATTTTAATGGGGTAGTTATTTATCATCAACGCTTCTCCATCACTTAGGTTTTTTCTGATGTGCACCTTGAAGTTATGGTTCAGTTTTTTAGATAATTATTTTATTTATTTTTTAAATTTTTGATTACACTTTGATTCCACACCGTATTTTTGGTACAAGTATGGAACTTTCAGCGTAGATATCGGTAGCTCAAATTTCGCCACAGCCCGACCATAGATATCAGGTGTGCATCGGCGTCTTCACAGATAACGAATGTGATGAATTAAAGCCTAGATGTCTGCGAGAATGCATTGAACTTCGCCTGTTCATTTGATTTTGAAATCTCAAAACCAGCTAATTCTCATTGTTCATTTTCGAACTCAGATGTTAATTTCATTCCTTCTATTACTGAATTTACAAGTGCGTAGAAACCAGAGACATGTTCTGTTTTTTTCAACACTGTAAAGAATTAGGTGGAAAAACCCTTATAAACAATGAATAATCCCCAAAATGAAAGATACAATGAATCACAGATTGTAAAGTTTTATCAGGCAGCCGGTATAATTGGCCTGCATTCTAAAGGTGTTGCTGATCTCTGAGTATATGTATACACGCTAGCAGATTTTCAGTTACTCGGTGGATTATATCAGACAAGTAATAATTATAAGCATACCCACGTGTTGGACACAAGTCTGGGACTTTCGTCAACATCTGCCCTCACAAACTTAGTACTAACCATCAGATGGCCGGTCAGAAAGAATTACCATCAAGGAACCCTGGCAGTGTAAGGAACCATCCAACAATCTAGTGCTCAGAAGAGATACCGAAGGAAATGGAGGTGGAGTGGAGATAATCTGAGGAAAAAATTGAGTGCCACCACGCACCAGTTAGGTCGTCGGGTGGAACCCAAGTGTGGAATGACGACTTGGGCGTTGACCAGAAGGTGATATTAAGGGGATCGTATTAGAAGGACAGAATAGAGGGAGATGGGCGCATGCTGGGAATCCAAAAGAACAATAATAAAATAATTCATAAATGTTACATGGTTTCATGATGAGCTGACAGTGGTTAGAGAACCACTGCAAAACCTGGGAGTACTGGACGGCTGTTTCGTCAGCCTAGTTTGGGACTCTTTAGCAATACACATCCACGGGGTTTCGAACGCAGGACCTTCCGGTTGCAAGGCGACCTATGTCGCGAATCGGCAGAAGTTAGAATTCATGGGCCATTGGATCAAGTCCTAGTGACTGCTGAATGGTTTACGAGCTCGCTAGCCATGTAACCAGAAGGTCCTGGGTTCGAACCCTAGTGGTTGTTGCGTACTGCTGAAGAGTCCCCAATGAAGCTGACGAAGCAGCTGTTCACTACTCCCAGTTGGTTTTCCAGCGGTTCTGTAACTAATGTCAGCTTATAATGAAGTCCTGTAACCAATCAATCAAAACCCTACAAACGAATACTTGAATTAATACATGTGTTGAGCGCTTCTGGAATATATTCTTTAGGATTTCTATAACACTTCCGCAATACATATTACCAGCTATCTGTAACCATGATAGTTTTACGAGAACAAGCATTTCCCAAGTAAGAAAAGAATACAAAAAAGACTATCAAAGAACTCACATTATTATTTGTTGCATTTTCTATACTTTTCAACCAACTGATGTACTGATTTTCCAGATCATTTGATGACAACCGATCAGCTTGGTTATAAACTGTACTGTTAGAATTCCTCCATTGCTGTACACGATTGATACTGTTGTCATTGTTTAAATTTTTCGAAATATCCTAGAATTAAATTAAAGCGGGAAGAATATGTATGTAGGAAAAAATACGATATTTCAATGTTTGATCATAGACTTATATCCGTTAGAGAAGCATTGGACACAGGGGAGTACTGGAAATGTTTTAATCCTAGTAATTGAGACTGTTCAACAGTAGGCACGCATAACTCTACCAGAGATCAAACTCAGTACCTTAAGGTTACGCGGTTCACCTAGTGACCATTTATTCACTTGGACGAAACACAACTACCGAGGAATTCTAACTTATAATATTTCGCGACTATTAGCGCCACCGCCAGCCAGTACCATTAGTGACTATGTGGGCTCACACTCAACTTTGCGAGCTTCACTGTCAGAAATTCAAGACGGAAACTGTTGAAAACCAAGAAGGAGTAGACTCTTTCACAATACTACAAGTATGAGATCTGGCCAGTGAACACTGGATTGAGTGTAGAAGGGAGGTTATCGTTTAAATACTGAGTCATGCATGCATAGATTGCTGTAAATTAGAATGAAGCAGCCACCACTCTCATCAGTTTATTGTGACATATGAGAACAAACAGTCATTGACTACACAATTTATGGAAAAAAGGACAATAATGAAGAGAAGTGTGCTATTTAATAACCAATCCAATCAGATTCAGTTTGATCTAATGGGAATTATGATATAATGTACCTCTAGTAGAAACGTCTAATTACATATGTGAACAAGTGTATAACCAGTTGATAAATATTGGCATCTGTACTGAAATCCTGAAAGAATTGTTATCAAGGTGTACCATGAATGTAAATTTCAAATTTGACGTCACACTTTGCAGACAAGTGGACAGGATGGCGATGCGCTCACCATTGGATCCCATTTTGCCAGATTTCCTTCTAAGTAAACTGGAAAATGGACCTATGAACAACTTTATCATGGATGACACCTTTATTCTTTGTGATACTGATTCGGATTGGAACGCAATAATAACGAAATTCAATGAAGTACGTTCTGCTATGAAATCCAAAAACAGAATTAATTGCCTTCCTGGATGTCCTCCATACAAGAAAATCAGATGGTAGCGCAAAAAGAAATTTGTATAAGAAAAGTACATGAACAGGACAATATACACACATTTTCACAGCTTCGTTCTTCTGCTGTACAAAATAAATTTAGTAAAGACCCTCAGTCATAGGGTTAATGCTGTGTGCTCAGAAGAGGTAATTAAAGATGAACTAATCATTGTATACGATACCTGGATTGAAAATAACTATCCCGACAGATTTATCCAGAAACACAGGACAAAGAAAGCGAAAAAAGACTATTTACTGTCGGTAAACAAGAAGCCTTTATACATACAACTGCAAGTCAAGGGCCATATATCTGGTAAAATAATTACGAATAACTTAAGAAAATCAGTTCACAGAACTTATAATGCTGGTAAAATAAAAGTCTTATTTTCTCCATGACCAGTGGTGATTCCTTGAATGAAAGATGATGTACCTAGACTAGACACTTCCAATTGTATCTACCAATTCAGCTGCTCTTGTGGAGCCACTTATACCGGGAGTTGTTCTAGGAACTTGATTTTTCGTACTCGAGAACATCTCTCAGCGTGGCTAAGTAAAGGTGTAGTTAGAGGCAGCAACTTTTCGATATTAGACCACCTGGTCCAAACCGGCCACAAAGCCAGAGTCCAAGAATCCTCTGTATCATCTACCGGGTGCCTAATAAATTGCCAAATTCATCGAAGCACCGCATGCTCCAAACTGAAGAGTCTATTGCAATTCTCGTGAAACAACCAGTGCTTTGTGTGTAAAAAAAGCAAGTCCAGCCACTACTACTGCCCTGCCCGGCCTTCAGCAGAGACTATGAACTCATGAATTTGTATTATTATCTTTCCTAATTTTTCTGGCATTCAGTTTATTGTTATGGCGATGCTATTTAACTGTAATCTATCGGTATTATTGATTCAACGTTATTTAAACGACATTAATGTTGTTCATAACACTAATTCATTCATTCACTATGATGTATATATAACTGTAGAACCTGATGAAAAACAGCTTATAGAAAAGAGTCTCTTTGTTCAGCAATCATTCTTTTGGAAATATCTTTTGTGTCCATCCTCTAACGTGTTATTGAGCATTTACGCCTGAGTTGTATAATTTGGCCATGAATACTTCTGTTTCAGATGACGAAACGTTCCAAATGCAAGACTTTACTATTGAGTATTAAAAACGACATAATTTAGTGAAGCCAAAAGAACTAAATACAATGTCTTCTACTTGTATAGACTGTCTTTATTCGTAGTTAGTTAACAGTATCGTCAATTCACCAATCATATTTATAAATCTGGTCTGTGGGCTAAATCAAGCCAAGTACACCGACGATGAGCACAACCACAAGGTAGCGAAACAGTCATCCATTTTTCAGATCACTATGATTATCTGGCTAGCAGACAGTATTGGTTCCTGTGAGTGGTTTACAACTACTCGAATCGACCAATCACTAGTATATGACGTATGTATGTATGCATCCATTTCGGGTATTGCAGGAGTGTCAACTGATTTCGATGTTAACCTCATCACTAACTAACATCAGTTGAAGTACTGTCGTCCCAGTTCAAGTCTCTCCTTCAGCAGCAACGTATAACCTTGAGAGGGGGACGATATGCAGAATCTTTTGTCTTCAGAGTTTAGTCCATTGGTCAAATGATCCTCTGTATAGGAATTCAGTAACCTGGGAATTTTAATTTCTGTCATTTTGAAATTTACCACTACTCCCAACCCATCTGTTTGATGAGTTCTAGCTTAACCCCGACACAATTGACCCCACCATTCTCATTATAATCTCGCAATATTCATCAACCAGCCATTAGTGAGCTGGAGAGTGATTTTATTTGATTGATACTGGCTCTTGAAATCCATAGGGGTTTTGCGTAGGTGGTTAAAAGGAAGAGCGAATTCCAACAATCACCTCTGAAAATATAGCAACTAGTCACTTATCAATCGTTCAATTAAACTTAATACAAATAAGATCCCAGACAAAAATGCTCTATTTTTGTCAAAAAGACAGTGCTATCGGGCAAGTGAACTTTTAAAATATGGTTTATTTGAATGCTAATCAAAAATATCCCAAAGAAGAATCTGAAAAATGGCCTCAGTTTCATCTGATTTCACTCGTTTCCTTTTTTTATTGTAATGTAGATCTTATGAAAGCTTAGTTTTATAAGGTTGTCACACCCGGTTAAACAAAAGGTAACTCTTCCCGTTTTCACTTCCGGTTTTTTAAAAACTAAGCCTAACAAAGTGGGTGGACAGGTGAGGGAAGCCATAAATCAAATCAATAATTTAAAAATAGAAAAATGCATACAAACCTGTGTAAGTAAATAAAAAAGACATTTGGAAACTTTGAAAGTTGCTGAAAAATTTCTGATTAAATCCTATAAAGGATGAAGAAGAGTTCAGTGAAGAGTTTCTCTTTTCAGCGATATTATTCTTAAGCTGAATAGATCTCTATCCAATGCTGTCAATTATGTTACTTCATTCAAGTTGGTTCCTACATGATAAATGCTTTTTGTATTATTATTATTCCCTTAGGTTCCGGGTGGAATATAGTGCTTACAAGCTCTCATATCATCCTCATACGACCTCATCCATGTCATCCTTGGAGACACGCCCAACTCGTCGTCCCCCATTTAGGTTCCACTCAAGGGTCTGTCTGAGGTGCGATGTCACTAGCTTATGTCTTTAGTGTATTGCCAACCTATTTCCATGTTTTTTTGAGCAAAAGACTATTCGTTGGTTTGTGGTTGACTTTCATTCTGCTTGCCTTTTCTGGTTGAATATCTGAGATAAAGTATCGAGACAGAGGGGGCAGGCGTTAATGAAAACCCGCAGTAGTCTGTGAGAAATGTTCTTAATGATGTGCGTGACAAGTCTCTGAATCAAAGAGAAGGACTTAATTGGCCGTAATGCTGAAAATCCATGGTAAATGCAGTGGGTTTGTTTTCAGTCTGACTTCAGAGTTATGAACCCCTGTCTTGATTTTCCTGTCTGATTGTGGCTGGCTTCGACATTCTTATCATTGCTACCTGCCTATGTCGCCTAGATAAGTGACTTCCTCTAGATTTCTGCTATCGATGGTGACCGATCTTTGTTTTTGTTGGGGTGGTAATTCCACCACCTCTGCCTTATCCATGTTCATTTGAAATCCTGTCTTCTTTGCTCCTTCTTCTTTTTCTTCTAACTTGTTGGTTTGAACCTATGGATTTTCAGGTTTTTGTGAAATCGTCCGTGAAATCCAGATTTATTTCAGACAAGACAAGAGTTATCGCCTTATGAAATCATAGTCCGTGATCTGCTTTGTGCCACTCTTGGATTGTCACCCAACTTGTTGTCATCAATTCCAGTTCCACTAGACATTCTAGAGTGCGAAATTCCTCAATGATTTATTCAGTATATGTTCAATCCATTACTCAGTGCCTTCTAGATATTTATTAACTGGGGTATCGGTTGTTTGCTAGTTCTCTGTTTGTCTATTCCAATGAACGTTTTGCAACAGTGTGCCAGAAATGTTTTTGGTGATGAACTCACCATATCTCATAATTACATAATATTATTGTTACCTTGGATTCCTAGTGGAACATAGGGCTTCAACTGCACGTCCCCACTTGCTTCTGTCTTCTGCTGTGCTTTTCACCTCCATACATGTTGTAACAACAGAAGACAAGGGCTGGCAACAGATCGTTTTATTATGAAAATCAACACGTATTTATACATATTTCACATACATTATTATAGACAAGCGCAGTCATCTGATTGGTTGTTTATCAGGAGTTAGGCAGACAAACGCAGGCTTCTGATTGGTTGTTTCGGGATTCCTTGACAAATAGAGTTCTCTATCTGCGAATCATATTTTGCCACGTTAACTTTGCTGTGATTGGTTGTTGACTCAGCCTTGTTCATATTTTCTCACGGCCCATATTAACGTAGCTTAGTGTCAACCAATCGGCTAGCAGC